AGGAGAGAATGCTTCTGGAACATGGCTATACAGCCCAGAAAACTCATAGCAAACCAGTGATTCTGGCCAGGAAAGCTTTCGACAATAGAAGTCCATGCACTGCTGCAAGACTCTGACATACAGAAAGTGCTACAAACTCTGGCTCTGATCACAAGTCAGAATTAGACTTTTAGTGAAGATTATTAGTGAAGAAAAGTTTCCCCCTTTTAACAAACATATCCTTTAGTTAGAGATGCAACAAAATCATTCTCATACCCAGACATCCATGGACAGAAAAATCATTAAGCTATATTTATATACACCACCTCAACTATCACAGCAGCTGCTGTGAATGCAGATGGTTCACCACTGTATTTTTCCTCTCCTCGTTCCACAAAGATTTCAGCCAGAGCTGGCCATTAAAATATCTACCCACTGAATTATTGGAAAGATTTCCCTGCCACAGCAAGTCTAGACTCCCCAGTCTCCAAGGAATTTGGAGAATCAAAGTTCCAGTCTATATCTTTCAAAAAGCATTCAGCACAACTAAACGGAGGGCACTGGAAATGACCCCCTTAGGCCACAATAAGACTTATCTGTATAAGAGAGAGGTCAAATATGATGTTTCTTTGTTAGGAAGTCATAGAATCATAATCATAGAGTTGGAAGAGACCTCATGGGCCATCTAGTCCAACCCCATTCTGCCAAGAAGCAGGAAAATTGCATTCAAAGCACCCCCGACAGATGGCCATCCAGCCTCTGTTTAATGTCTTGCTTTTATTACTCAGTTTCCTATTTCATATTTTCACAGCAGAGTATACCATCCTACTCATGCACATATCTTTCTCCTTCTGCAGTTTCTCCCTTTTTAACAGCCATGTTAATACCTTCTAGCCCTGGACATGCTTCACCTCTGCCATGAGACCAAGCCGCCTCACTTCCAGGTTAGCAAACAAATGTCCACTGTCAGCTGACAACGTTCAACCCTTGGACCACTTGCTGTGAACAGGCAAACATTTCGATGAGGCACAATATATCTGAGATTTCAGACTTTACATTCTTTGTACCCAAGACTACCTACTTGCCAATAAAGCCAGCTCTCTGCATCCACAAGTTCTGCCTCCATGGATTCAATCAACCACAAGTCAAAAATATTTGGTGGGAAAATCCAAAAAGCAAGTCTAAGCACTATGCTTTTTTTTCATGTCAGGAGTGACTTGAGAAACTGCAAGTTGCTTCTAGTGAGAGAGAATTGGCCACCTGCAAGGATGTTGCCCAGGGGACGCCCAGATATTTTACCATCCTGTAGGAGGTTTCTCTGATATCCCCACATGGGAAGCTGGAGCTGACAGACAGGAGCTCACCCCACTTGACGGATTTGAACCATCGACTTTTCGATCAGGGTCCTGCCAACACAAGTGTTTAACTCTTTGAGATGTGTAGGGATATCCTGCATTAGTCTCCTGTCATTTCAGAGATATTCAGGCTATCTCCAGTTTTGGGTTGTTCACCATTTTACTATGCCGTTGTATAAAATGGGACTTGAGCATTCAGATTTTTGTATCTTATGAGGGTTCTGGGAGCAAGCCCAAACAAATACGGAAGGCCTACCATACTATTAAGCACAATAATTCTTTTGAAAAATAGTTCATCTAGAAACTCTGATACAGTCACATGCAGAGAAGAAGGATCCGATACATCCCTAAATCAGGAAATTCTAGATTCAGAGATTCTATTTGAACATGCCAGATCCCCTAATTCTCCCCCCAAATGTGCCACTGAATTTGAGTAATGGTAATAACCTTGCCATTTGCCTAAAAATAAGATGCACAGGAGTTGTTTAAAATATGATTTGCAGTTCCACAGAGATTATTGTTCTTAAGATGAGATTCATCTTAACAACACAACAGGCAATGTGTGTGGGGACTGCACACATTGTTGTTCCGATGCAATGCATCTTAACAACATATGCAGTCCCCCACGCACATTGCTTTTTCAAAAAAATGTGCTTTGTTTTGTTTTGCTGCTGTCACACAACCAAAATCTGGCAGCTCTACAACACGTTCATTGGAGGTCACATAAATAAGTGGTGGGACCACATGTGTTGGCTAGCTCTGCTTTAACCTAACCCCATAGACATGACAAGGAGATGCTCAGGATCAATCCCAGAATCCATCAACTCCCTCACCTACCAATCCTTGCTTTAAAAACCGGAAGAATTGCCACAGCTTCCAGATCACAAAATTGGCATTCACTCTCGAGTAACTGTCACTTTCTTAATTAGGTAATTCATCTAAGCTTCTGAAGTGGGTGCTGATTCAGAAGGGATGGAAAGAAAAAGAAGCACCTGTCATTTCATATGGACTGTTGCTCAACTGCTTAGCTATTCTATCGACAGCCACTTGCCTCATTATTCAGAGGGGACAGTGATAATTTAGGAGAGATGGTCAAGCATGAAAAGTGCATTACTTATTGCCCAAGGCTGCTTCCTGGAAATTATCACATCTTTGAAACACGGAGGAAATCCCAATTTGCATCTATTAAACTGCAATTCACATTCTGTGCCGTGAAGCTTCACAGTCTGAAATCACTAAACAATGTCTTTGCTGGGCAAGACTTTGGTAAAGCTAACTAATACTATAACATGGCTGAAATAGAAGTCTCAGATAACCCTTTTATAATTGACTAGCCATCACCTGCCACGCGTTGCTGTGGCTCAGTCTGTGTATATGCATTTCATGTGTGTATATCTGTGTTATATATATTTGTGTATATATGTGTGTTTGCAGATATATGTGTGTGTATATATGTGTGTATATATTTTTGTATTTGTGTTTATATGTGCACATGCATATTGCATATATGTGTGTGCTTGTCTATATGCATATTTGTGTGTATATATGTGTGTATGTGTGCATGTATATGTGTGTGCATGTGTATATGTATGTTTATATATGTATATTTGTAGGTGTATATGTCTATATGTGTATATGTATATATATATATGTGTGTGTGTGTGTGTGTATATGTGTATATCTGTCTGTGTTTGTGCATGCATATACATGTGTGTGTGAATGTGTGCATGTGTATATGAGTGTATGTGTATATGTATATCTGGTGTATTTTGGGGTTTTTTTAGTCTGTTCCGCTGAGGTTTTGTGTGTGTGTGTGTTTGGGGGTGATGGACACTTGTTGGACTGTTAGGTGTATTGTGTCCTAATTTCGTGTCAATTCGTCCAGTGGTTTTTGAGTTATGTTAATCCCACAAACGAACATTACATTTTTATTTATATAGATTTGAATACAACAATTCTAATACACCCTTTTCTAAATTTTGTATCACAAATCCATAGGTAAGGTTGGGGTTTTTTTTCAGTCTCGGCTTGTTCAGTTTGTGATGAAACTTTCTACAAGTGTCAAAGAGAGTTCCAGTTTTATCACAATCCACCACCACCATCAATTTTTATCCCGCCTTTCTCCTAAATGAGACTCAAAACAGTTAAGGAACACATTGGAAGATGACAAGTGGATGATACCACAGTGTGGACTTTTCTGTAAAAGTGAACATGTGGGGCACGGTGATTCCAAAGTAAATCCAAAAAAGATGGGAGAAATAAGGTAAACAAGGAGAGCCTAGCTGACCACAGATCTCACACAGCTTTACGGCATCCAGGAAATATGCCTTTACCACCGAGAAGACCTTCTCAGTGGTGGCTCCCCGACTTCGGAACACCCACTCTAGGGAGATTGGACAGGCCCTCACACTGTCCTCCTTCTGGAAGGAATTGAAGACTTGGAGACAAGCCTTTGAGAATCTGTAGCTCAAATGGTCCACAGTTAATGACACAGCACTGCACTTTCATCCCATGCCTTGTTCATGAGCTACAACTTGCACTCACCATAGGTTATTGGGCACTGTTTTGAGCTTAAATTATTGTTTTATATGCTCTTGGCTTATCTTTTATTGAAGGCATCCTCAAACTGTGGCTTTTTAGGCCTCCAACTCCTAGAAGCCCTAAAGAGCTTGTTCGATTGTCAGGAATTCTGGGAGTTGAAGGCCCAAACAGCTCGAGGGCCGCAGTTTGAGCATGCTTGTTTTATTGTATTGTGTGTTTATTTTATGTGTGGTTTTAGGCACATTGTGCCATATGTAAGCCTCCCGAGTCCCTTCAGAGAGATCGAACTGGGGTACAAAAATAAAGTAGTAGTAGTAGTAGTAGTAGTAGTAGTAGTAGTAGTAATTATCAGCCATAGTTGCTTTTGCAACTTCTGATGTCTTCTCCTAAACAAAATGTAGCATAATCTTTTAAGTTTTAGCAAAAGTGTATTAAAATCTTTTTTTTTAAATGTTAAGATAAAATTGCAGTAATCTCCAACACTGTGAAGCATTTAGACAAACTCCCTATTGTCTTCAGATTGCATGACTACTAGCTACAACTGGAAATAGTGGGGTTTGCAATTCAATCCATCCAAAAGGTGTTTGGTTATGAGAAGATAGCTTAAATCCCCCTTGTCATCTTCTTTAAAATGGCAAGAAATTTACTATAGATGGAAGGGAGAGATCCTGGTTGTCCAGGTATGCTATATATTATATACAGTACATTATATACAGTACATCATCTCTGTCTACAGGGAGTACATTCTCAGACTTTGCATGGCTATGTAAAACCATGGATTGTAGCAAACTCTCTTATTTTTAATAGGACAAATGACAGAAATACCAAGAAAAGGGTGTAGCCTGTATAAGAGACACTAAGTGAATAACCGAATAAGTATTTTATTTCGAATCAATACGAAATAAAACCAAATAAGTGAAACCATGGATAAATGAAAAACCATATATCTGTTCCACACATAACGGGAGCATACTGTATCTTCAAAATTCCAGTCTCTGCTATTCTGAAAAGTTCTGTATTTAAATTTGAACCAGACATTCAAGAAGCATTGACTGCACCATTATCTTGTTCTTCCTCCAAACATACTACTCTCTAGCCATAACTCAAACACATATGGATTCTCACCCCATAGTTGGGTCCAGCGCAATGCCTTTGGGATTGTAGAGCTCCAGGTCAAGCAGCGTGACACAGGTGACACCATTCTTGTTGCAGACAAATATCCGGTCATCAATGTCATCCACAAAGTAGAAGTTGCCAGTAAGCCAGTCAATAGCCATTTGCTCCACATCTAATAGAGGAACACACAAAAAAAGACATAGTAGAGTATTAGTTCTTCATCAAGATAATCACTTTAGAAATTACTCTCTTGAAAAGACTACATGAATTGGTTGAATCAATAAATAAATACATCTGTTGTATGAAAAATGAATGTGTGTTAAAATACAGGAGAGTTCAGGGTTTTGATGGGCTTTTATGAAAATAGGCATGACGAAAACACTGTGGAAAAAACTTAATTCTTTATTTCATTCTATCACCACTATTTGGAAAAGCAGAGTCCAAAGCACCCAACCACTAAAATTATCTATCTATTTTTAAGCATATATCTCTGAAAAGGGGTTGAATTGCAGAAATGTATCAAGGGACTTGTGAAGAGTTTTGCTCATACTGCACATCCAAGAGTTCCAGGCTATTGCGTATTATAAGAGACATACCTTACACATAAACTAGCCATTTTAAACTGCCTGAAAAAGAAGGCTGGGAGAAAAACAAATCTTTCATATCTGTGTATCAGGAAGGATGATAATGCAGTGTTCATGCCAGGTACGAGTCTTATCTGTACAGTGAAGATTATGTGAAGTCATACATAGATATTTATGCACTCATCTCAAAGTGAAATGGAACAGCCCAGCGAAAAGAAAAGGAAGCTTCTTCTAAATTGATTCAGCTCTGAGTCATCTTCGAGGTCAAATCTATACTTTACAGCAGTGGTTCCCAACCTTTTTTTGACCAGGGACCACTTTGACCAGGGATAACTCTCCAACATTAGTACCAAAAGGGTTACAAATCAGTTTTTGGTCAACTTTAGATTTGGTCTGGTTATTTGGAGTGCTGATTCTGAAAATTGCATTGGATAGACCACACCAGCTCTAGTTTCTGATACAGAACATATGCCACCCAATAGTCACCATCTGCTCGCCCACAGAAAACCATATTTAATAAGCCTCGGCACTATAAGAGGGTTTCGCAAGACCATTTTAAACTGCCTGAAAAAGAAGGCTGGGAGAAAAACAACTATTTCATATCTGTGGATCAGGAAGGATAATAATGCAGTGTTCATGCCAGGTATCTGTAAAGTGGCCTCACCACTGCTACACTGTTCACTCTAGTTGCAACAGTGTAGTAATGGTGAGGCCACAGACCATATAGTGGTTCTTGTGGATCACTGTTGGTTCTTGTGGACCATTGTTGGTCCACGAACCACAGGTTGGGAACCACTGATTTACAGAAACAAAACAGTCCCCACCCTCCAAACCTTCCACACACAATTAAAGACCTGGCTTTTCTGAAAAGCCTTCAACCATGTTTAGACTCTCTTATAATATATATGAGACTCTTTAGATTCTTTATTAGCACTTTATACTTCTGAGATAGAATGCTGTTGTTTTATCTACACCAATTGCTGAATTTTATTGTTTTTACCAGGAGGTACTGTGAATTTATGATGTGTTGATTGTTTATTGTTTACTCCTATGTTTTGTTTGCACTTGTTGTATTTTGCATGTCAAACCTTGAGTGTTTTGTGAGCTGTCCCGAGTCCCTCTGGGAGATGGTGGTGGGATATAAATAAAAGTTTATTTATTATATTTATAAAATGATGGTCCTTGAGGATGATTAAGTTCCCTTGTTTCTGTTAGAATTGCAACATACTGCACTTTTACGAATTGCATTAAAATGCACATGCCATGATAAATATCATTCAAACAGCATGTCAAGTCCTAAGATTGTGAGTTCTCATTTTCTCCTGGGCGTAGCGGGAATTCAAAAAGTTTCTCTCCCGCTTGTACTTATGTACAGTTTACTGTGCCAATAAACCTGATCAAGTGTGGTGAATGTTAGCTATTACTTATTTGAAATAAGGCAATTTCTAATCATAATTGAACTTTCTATTTTGCACAACCCTTCATATACAGAAATCTGCTGAGAGCAAACCTAGTCATTCTATTAAAAAAAATATTTTTTTCGTAAACAAAATAGCTGCCTCCAGGTTCAATCTAAGCAAGCCTTCTGGAGCCATCTTATAAAATAAATGCCATGCTCAAAGCAATAAAGCAAGCTAACATGCTCAGGAAAAATCCAGCAAAGGTCTTTCTATTTTTTTTTCTTCTGAACAAGTTATATAACATTATGATAAATTATATAGCTTTTGAAAGTTAGGTCAGGTATAATACTTGGTATTTTGCATCAACTCAAAAAAATGCAAGCTAGCCACGTGGCCCTTTCTTCCAGAGATCTATACAATAGAGGTGCCTGCACATTCGAATCAGATTCTTTTACTCAAGAGTTCTTTGCGCACTACTATTGATGAACTCTCTCTTCTCCTTTTGTTATACTTGTGCCATCATTTTGTCCCATCCCTTGGCTCCTCTTCTAGATTACTTACCACTCAAGGAACCATCCCTAACCAACCTTCTCTTTCCAAAGGCCCTGTTTTGTGTTGCTAAGAATAGAGCACCAAGCAGAAGACTGCTCTCCCACTGTGGTATTTAAAGGTCTATTCTTCTCTCCTCCTTCGCCTAGATCTGACTGCTGCCCTCAATTAGGCTCTCTCATTGGCACTGTGCCTCGCCTGAAAAAGCCCTTTCAAAACTCTTTTCTTTACGCAGTTTTTCTCTTGCTCCATTCTTGGCACCAACTGATTCCCAAGAGTATTGTGCCTCCAGTTTAGAAACATACTAGATGACTTTGTTAGGAAGTCAATAGTATATCACCAATTTATGTGTATAGGATAGGGAGAGAGGAATGGGAAGTGGGATGAACCCACTAAAGATAATAATAATTCATTGGAACTTGTGCCACAAATACCATCTGCCTGCAACCAAGAACTGGTGAGATCACAAGCCGGAAAGAGTTAGAGAATGAACACGCCAAACTCCTCTGGGACTTCCAAATTCAGACAGACAGAGTTCTGGAGCACAACATTCCTGACCTCACAATTGTGTTAAAAAACAAAGTATGGATTGTCGATGTTGCAATCCCAGGTGACAGCAGGATTGCAGAGAAACAACTGGAAAAGCTGACATGAGGATTTAAAGATCGAACTGCAAAGACTCTGGCACAAGCCAGTAAAGGTGGTCCCAGTGGTGATCGGCACACTGGGTGCGGTGCCTAAAGACCTTGGCCTACACGTAAACACAATTGGCACTGACAAAATTACCATCTGTCAGCTGCAGAAGGTCACCTTACTGGGATCTGCACGCATTATTCGCCAATACATCACACAGTCCTAGACACTTGGGAAGTGTCGAGGACTGTGTTGATCCAATTCAACAGCCAGCAGAGTGTCTGCTGTGGACTCATCTTGTTGTGTTTCAAATAATAATAATCTTTATTTATACCCCGTCACCATCTCCCCAGAGGGGACTCAGGTGGCTTACATGAGGTCAAGCCTGGTAATACATTACAGCAAAATATATACAGAATGGCAAAAAAAAAATCACAATAAAATAAGTAACACATAAGACAGTGCAAAATACAAAATGAAAAATCAGACACAGTAGGCGGGACAAATGTACAACATAAAATGATAAAACTCTGGATGAGATAACAATGGAAAGGGTATATTTGTGGGGAAGGAGCTCATAGGGGATGGAACAGCGGAGTCAGGCCTTAAGAAAGGTGGGGAGGGGGGAGTCCAACATGAGGACAACATTGTGGGAGAAACAACAGGAAAGAATAAGACAACAACAAGCTCCCCCCACCCCAAAGAAATGGTGAGTGGGGAAGCAAGCTTACTAAGATCTAGCCTGAGTGCCAAAAAGCCCCTATGGGGGAGGGAAACTTAGAAGATTAAACCGAATTGATGAATTAACAGATTAAAAAGAACTTAAACTGAAGGACCGCGATAATGCGGAGAAAGATCCATATATAGTATAACAAAGGCACCCTATTTATTTATTACCATCATATAGCAGGTTAAATCTGTAAGCTCTAGATTTTGCATAAATTATAATAGAATCATAGAGTTGGAAGAGACCTCGTGGGCCATCCAGACTAACCCCATTCTGCCAAGAAGCAGGAAAATCACATTCAAAACACCCTATAACGATGGCCATCCAGCCTCTGCTTAAAAGCTTCCAAAGAAGGAGCCTCCACCACACTCCGGGTCAGAGAGTTCCACTGCTGAACAGCTCTCACAGTCAGGAAGTTCTTCCTAATGTTCAGATGGAATCTCCTTTCTTGTAGTTTGAAACCATTGTTCCATGTCCTAGTCTCCAGGGCAGAAAACAAGCTTGCTCCCTCCTCCCTATGACTTCCCCTCACATATTTATACATGGCCATCATCAAGTCTCCTCTCAGCCTTCTCTTCTGCAGGCTAAAAAGCTGTTTAAGCTGCTCCTCATAGGGCTTGTTCTCCAGACACTTGATCATTTTACTATCCTTGCCATTGATGCCATTTATTTCCTGGTGAACCGAAAATCTATCCATATAATGAAGAAGATAAAATGAAGGACCCGATGGGACCAGTATTTTCTTGATTATCTTAATATTATCCGGAACTATTTCTATTTTCCTTAATTGTTGAATGGCTTTTTACATTTCTAAGCTCCCTTGAGGTAGTGGGAAAGTAGCAAGCTAGCTAAATAGAATGAATGAATAAAATTAATCTGAACGCATAAATACGTGAAACTAGTTCTTCCTGATTGTTAAATCCTTTAATCTCCAAGCAAGGAACTAAAACTAAATGATTTAAATATATAACTTCTATTGAAAGCCAATATTTTTAAATTTCAGCTATGTCAAGTATTTCTTAAAATAATTCAGTCTGAAATTACAGGCAGACCAGGTTATCTTGGTAAATAAGTACCTTGCATTCTCAATAGTTCTGTCAAATTAACAACAAAGATGCATACTCCAAATAAAATCCGTTTCTCAAAATCAAGAAGGTTTGAAGGCATGAGAACTAAGAATGAACATAAACAGTAAAAGTCAATTTGTAATGGAAATAGATTAGCAAATCCACCTGTTTCACTGGCCTTAGATTTAAATGTTCATATTTTGAGTTTTTGA